AAGCAGAGCATGAGAGGGGCAAGCAGCACTTCACACTCCATTTTGGGATTTTCCTGGCTCAGATGAGCCTCTGGGGGGGCATTTTTCCTCCCAGAAGGCTCCTCTGGGGCTCAGGAAGAAAAAAAAACAGCATGGGAGGCATGCAGCACCCCTCCATGCTCCGTTTTGGGACCTTCCTGGCCTCAAAGGAGCTTCTAGGGGGATGTCTTTGCTCCCAGAAGGCTCCTCTGGGGTTCAGAAAGGCAAAAATGGAGGGGGCAAGCCCCTTCCTCCCTTTTTTGCCTTTCTGGGCCTCAGCAAGGGGAATCCTGGCACAGCTGATCATATGAACAGCTGATTGTCAGAAGGGGAAAAAAAGAAATATCTTTAGGGGTGAGTGTCAGGCGGACAGGGCGACTGGGTCAGGGGTGTGGCCAGCCAGAACTTATTACCAGTTCGGGGACCCATGCCAAATCCTCGCTACCGGTTCACCCAATCCACAGCAAACTGCTGAATACCACCACTGCTCCTTTTACATTACCTATAGGTATGTGGACTTATTCTTGTTAATGTATACAGTATATTAATGTACCGGGTTTCTCACAAAATAAGGCCGGGCTTTATTTATTTTTTTTGATCTCCCCAAAAAACAGCTAGGCCGTCTTTCGGGGGTGACTTAATTCCCCCCTCTTGCATCCTCGGGCTGGCAGGCGGCGGTGGCTTGGATGTTGATCTCAGTGTTGGTGGGGCACTTCGTATCGGGGAATGTTCCGCCACCGTTGCTTTCCCTTCTCCCCGTGCTGCCACGGCATTTAGAGCAACGCCGCGGTGTTTGGTGCAGCCATGCGCGGCCAGCCAGGGCTCCTCCCTGCAACCAGAGCCCAGCGGAGACACTCGGCTTCAGGCGCTCGCCTTCCCTTCGCCTTCAAAGGCAAAGCCAATTCTTTTAAAAATGATGCTCTACTACTGGTATGGCAAAGACTCCTCTGCCCAAGAGGGCAGCCCAACCCCACGTGGGGAGGCAAATCTCCCGGGGCCGCAGCACAGGATCGCCCCCCCCCGGGAGAAGTGCCCAGTCGCCATCCCTGCCTGGCGCCGGGCAGAGCACGAAGAGCTTCGCCTGGGGTGCCCAGCGCAGCTGACAGGTGGGCCCTCCTGCCCGGCGGCGGAGCCTCCCTGCCAGACCCTCCGCTCATCCTGCCAGAGCTGTGCAGGCTGGGGAGAGCCAGGAAAGCGAGCCAGGGGTGCGCCCCTGCCTGCCAAGCAAAAGAGCTGGGCCGACCCGAGCTTGGCTTCCTTCCCAAGTCCCTCCAGCCCGAACCCAAAGGAGCCACTGGGAGAGGCTGCCCAAGGCAGTGATAGCGCCCACCCATACCTGGACAGGGTGGCAAGGCGACGGCCTGCACCGCGTCCTCCTCCGAGCTGAGCCCCACCAAGTGAATGTCTCTGCCCAATGCCCATGCTGCTGCAGCGTTTGGAGCTGCCAGCGTGTTTGGAGATGCGTGGGGACGGGCTGGGTGAGGGGTGGAAAGGATGGGCGACTTCGGGCTCTCTCCGCTGGACCTGCCGGCCAGGGAAGCAGCGCTGCCATCGCCTCACCTCCCTGTCTGCGGACAGGTGGGCACTATGGAGGTGGGCCTTGGACAGCCTCTCCCGGTGGCCCCTTTGGGTTTGGGCTGGAGGGACTTCGGAAGGAAGCCAAGCTCAGGTCGGCCCGGCTCTTTCGGTTGGCAGGCAGGCGCGCACCCGTGGCTCACTTTCCCAGCTCTGCCCAGCCCACACGGCTCTGGCGCAGCCCTGGTGGGATGAGCAGAGGGTCCAGTGGGGAGGCGCTCGCTGCCTTGGTGAGAGCTCCGCCGGCGGGCAGGAGGGCCCGCCTGTCAGCTGCACTGGGTGCCCCAGGCAAAGCTCTTCGCACTCTGCCCGACGCCAGGCAGGGATGGCGGCTGGGCACTTCTCCCGGGGTGGGCCAATCCTGCACTGCGGCCCTGGGAGATTCGCCTCCCCACTTGGGGTTGGGCTGCCCTCTCGGGCAGGGGAATCTTTGTCATACCGGTAGTAGGGCAACGTTTTTAAAAGAATTGCTTTGCCTTCGAAGGCGAAGAGAAGGCGGCGACAGGAGCACCTGAAGCCAAGTGTCTCCGCCGGGCTCCGGTTGCTGGGAGGAGCCCTGGCTGGCTGCATGTGACTGCGCCAAATGCCACAGCGTTGCTCTAAACGCCGCAGCAGCATGGGGAGAAGGGAAAGCAACGGTGGCGGAAGGTCTCCCAATACGAAGTGCCCCATCAACGACAAGGTCAATGCAGGGAGCACCATATCCAGGTATGCAACAAAAGTACTTCCTAACGGCCAGCCCCCCGCCATTCCCCCCCATTTTGCATGTTTAATATAGGCCTTAATTTGGAAGGAGGGGCTTAATTTGATTTTATGCCTATAAAGCATGCTGGGACTTCCTATTGGGGGAGCCCATATTGTTGGAGAAACACGGTATTATATCAAATCTCCATCATTTACTATATGGTCTAAACAGAAACACACAAATTAATGTTTTGTTTTCTTTTTGGTACAATCAAGTGGGAAAAAGATACTGTTGTGATGTCATACATTTTACTTACAGGTATGATCATGTTATAGCTAAAGCCACAGATGCTACCATTTTGAAAAAAATATGCAAAATATATTTATAGAAAAAACATAAATCTCATGTTATGTAGGCTGTCAACACAATGATTAAGGTTAATAATATATGAATTTGGTGTAGTGATTAAGGCATCAGCCTACAAACTGGGAGATCTACTCCCACTTTAGGCATAAAGCCAGCTTGCTGACCTTGGCTAGTCACTTTTCCTCAGTCCTAGGAAGGTGGCAAAACCACTCCTGAAAACCATTTTTATATTAACTATTTGGAACTTCATTCCCTACCTCTTGTAGAGTACAGGTCTAAGATTTTCAACTGGAGAGAATTGCAAAAGACGATGTCTTAGCAAATGCTTCTTTATTTTATTTTTTTCATAAAATAGAGTGGGGTGTCTTTGTGAATAATAATTAGTTCAAACTTGTCATGGTCTGGTCAATTTCTTCTATGATCCATTATATTTTGTAGGAAGTCATCTTGATTGATTTACTTCAACTCTGCTTTCCTCAAAAAATTTAATATACACTGCTCAAAAAAATAAAGGGAACACAAAAATAGGACATCCTAGATCTGAATTAATGAAATATTCTTATTAAATACTTTGTTCATTACATAGTTGAACATGCTGACAACAAACTCACACAAAAATTATCAATAGAAATCAAGTTTAGCAACCCATGGGGGTCTGGATTTGGAGTTACACTCAAAATTAAAGTGGAAAAAAACACTACAGGCTGATCCAACTTTGATGTAATGTCCTTAAAACAAGTCAAAATGAGGCTCAGTAGTGTGTGTGGCCTCCACGTGCCTGTGTGACCTCCCTACAATGCCTGAGCATGGTCCTGATGAGGTGGCGGATGGTCTCCTGAGGGATCTCCTCCCACACCTGGACTAAAGCATCCCCCAACTCCTGGACAGTCTGTGGTGCAACGTTGGTGGATGGAGCGAGACATGATGTCCCAGATGTGCTCAATTGGATTCAGGTCTGGGGAACGGGCAGGCCAGTCCATAGCATCAATGCCTTCATCTTGCCGGAACTGCTGACACACTCCAGCCACATGAGGTCTAGCATTGTCTTGCATTAGGAGAAAACCAGGGCCAACCACACCAGCATATGGTCTCACAAGGAGTCTGAGGATCGCATCTCGGTACCTAATGGCAGTCAGGCTACCTCTGGCGAGCACATGGAGGGCTGTGCGGCCCCCTAAAGAAATGTCACCCCACACCATTACTGACCCACTGCCAAACCAGTCATGCTGGAGGATGTTGCAGGCAGCAGAACGTTCTCCATGACATCTCCAGACCCTGTCACATCTGTCACATGTGCTCAGTGTGAACCTGCTTTCATTTGTGAAGAGCACAGGGCACCAGTGGCGAATTTGCCAATCTTGGTGTTCTCTGGCAAATGCCAAAAGTCCTGCACGGTGTTGGGCTGTAAGCACAACCCCCACTTGTGGACATCAGGCCCTCATACTACCCTCATGGAGTCTGTTTCTGACCGTTTGAGCAGCCACCTGCACATTTGTGGCCCGCTGGAGGTCATTTTGCAGGGCTCTGGCAGTGCTCCTCCTGTCCCTCCTTGCACAAAGGCGGAGGTAGCGTTCCTGATGCTGGGTTGTTGCCCTCCTACGGCCTCCTCCACGTCTCCTGATGTACTGGCCTGTCTCCTGGTAGCGCCTCCATGCTCTGGACACTACGCTGACAGACACAGCAAACCTTCTTGCCACAGCTCGCATTGATGTGTCATCCTGGATGAGCTGCACTACCTGAGCCACTTGTGTGGGTTGTAGACTCCGTCTCATGCTACCACTAGAGTGAAAGCACTGCCAGCATTCAAAAGTGACCAAACCATCAGCCAGAAAGCATAGGAACTGAGAAGTGGTCTGTGGTCACCACCTGCAGAACCACTCCTTTATTGGGGATGTCTTGCTAACTGCCTATGCTTTCCACCTGTTGTCTATTCCATTTGCACAACAGCATGTGAAATTGAGTGTCAATCAGTGTTGCTACCTAAGTGGACAGTTTGATTTCACAGAAGTGTGATTGACTTGGAGTTACATTGTGTTGTTTAAGTGTTCCCTTTATTTTTTTGAGCAGTGTATAATGACAAATAGGTTGCAGTAATAATTTTTAAATTGCTTTCCTAGTCATTGAGTTGTTGAGGAGTACAAACTTGCTCAATTTGTTTAGTGTCTAGCAACACAACTTTTTACAGTAAGTAAAATATTATAGATAATTTTAAGATTTTAACATTTACATTGAAATAACAGCTTTAAACATTGTTTCAGGGTTTTGTTTTGCAACTGTATTTAAATACATTTTCCAAGGATATTTACCGAAGATCCATTTCTTGTTCATGTCTTTCCATGTTTTTTTTTTTAAATAGGTAATGAATTTGGACATCCAGAATGGTTAGACTTTCCTAGACAAGGCAATAATGAAAGCTACCATTATGCAAGGAGACAGTTTAATTTATCTGATGATCACCTTCTTCGCTATAGATTCCTAAATGTGTTTGACAGAGATATGAATAAATTGGAAGAAAAATTTGGCTGGCTTGCATCACTTCCGGTAAAGTATATAAAATTTTAAAATGTTATATAGTAGTTTTCAGCAGTATGTATGTTCAGCATTTTAATCAGAAAAAAATTGCATTTTAAAATAATTAAGAAAGTCACTTTATTAATATTGCATATTTGTTTAAGACTCTTTCAAACAAATTATTTGTCTTGATTCTAAAATTTTATATCCAAGATAACATTTTTCCTCAATTTGATTTGTTGGAAAACATGCCTTTAAAAAGTTATATCGAGCTAAATCCATTCATATTTTTCAACAGGTTTATTGATTAAATATGTGAGAATTTCCTTTGCAATAAATACAAGTATGAAATACAAAAATGTTTCACTTTCTGATACATTATTGTATTTTTGTTTCTTGTGATCATCAAGAATCTTGTTAACTTTAAATTAAACCATATGCTTACTTATTTCAGTTAGTAAATGTAACTGAATCTTGTTAACTTTAAATTAAACTTTAAGAATCTTGTTAACTTTAAATTAAACCATATGCTTACTTATTTCAGTTAGTAAATGTAATGAATGTTTAATTCAATACAAAATTATATTAAACTTAAGTAATTTAAATTAATGGCACAATGAAGTGTATTAATGCCTTCTGTTTGCATGAGATGCAGAGAGAAACAAAAAGTTCTTCAAGGACACTCATGGAGATGTTTCCTGGCAAATATTTTTTGTTTCTATGAAGTTTGTGTTCAAATTAAACAGTATATAATGTTACTTTTATATTATTCCTTGCAGGCATATGTGAGTGAAAAGCATGAATTAAACAAAGTTATTGCTTATGAAAGGGCAAATCTTCTATTTATATTTAATTTTCATCCATCTCAAAGTTATACCGATTATCGAGTAGGTGTAGAAAAACCAGGAAAATATCCTTTTCTCTATAATCTCATTATATTTTGTTTCGTATATTGCAATGAATGATAATTTATGGAAGAGGATGACATCGTCCTCTGCTGTTTTTACATTTACTTTGGCATACAGATAGGTCTCTTAGTTTTGATAATGAATCCCATAAAATGTTCACATTATTTTGGTATACACTATTCAAAGTGATATTTCTATGGAAGACAAGATAATTGGTCTCAAAGAAAACAGTCAATGACTATTTTTAACATATATGCATGTGTGTTGTGTGTGTCTATGTGTGTGTAATATATCTGTAAAAGATTAAACGTATACTACAACTTAAATTTATTTTTTATAAAAAAAATATTGGATAGTTATAGAACCAAATCTAAATATAATTCTTAAAGGTGACAAAAACACCTTCATTCTATTTCAAAATATTGTTTAAATCAAATATAGCTATAAAATAAAAAAGATATATAGATGATATAAATATAGATATAGATTTCAGCTGAATAGTGCAGTGGTTAGAGGACTGCCTTCAATACAGGTTCAAATCCTAGCTGGTACCTACCTTATCAGGTCTTTGGACAGAGACCCTTTAGATTTCATCTATCTATCTCAAATATAAGAATAACATGAACTAGGAGAATCATGCTGGTTTGGACAGCGTCCAAATTAATAAGATCCACATCAAATATTAGGCTACCAGAATAATCTGACAAAAAAAGTACTACTGGAACAAACCATGAATAAATGAAACGAGAACCTAGAATTCATCAACCATTGTCCACAGTTTTACCTTATGTTTACAATAAGGTGTAAGATTAGACAGAATTCAAAAAGCAGAAAAGCTGTTTAAAAGGACACAAAGGCACAAAAGTAGCATCTGCTGTTAGTTCCTTGATTAGGCTGTTGCTTACTGCTTGATTGTCTGGCTGAATATCCAGTTCCTTAATTAGGATATTATTTAGCAATAGCACTTAGTCTTACAATATATACCTGCCCATAGTGCTTTATATAGCGCACTCTGGGCAATGTCAGCATATTGCCCCCAACAATCTGGGTCCTCATTTTCCCACCTCAGAAGGATGGAAGGCTGAGTCAACCTTGAGCCAGTGAGAACTGAACAGCCATCAGTGGTCAGCAGAAGTAGCCTGCAATACTGCATTATAGCCACTGCACCACCACAGCTCTATATGAATACATAGGAACATGCATCGAGGGTGCCTGTACTGGTAGTCCTCAGCTTACAACCATTCATTTTGTGATCTTTGAAGTTACAAACAGCACTGAAAAAAGTGACTTATGATTGTTTTTCATACTTACAACCATTGCAGCACCCCCACAATCATGTATTCAAAATTCAGACGCTTGGCAACTGGCATGTATTTATGATGGTTGCAGTGTCCTGGGGTCATGTGATCACCTTTTGCAACCTTTTGACAAGCAAAGTCACTGGGAAAACAAGATTCACTTACAACTGTGCTACTAACTTAACTGCAGTGTTTCACTTATAAATGGTAGCAAGAAAGATTGTAAAATGGAGCAAAATTCACTTAGCTGTCTCGCTTAGCAACATAAATTTTGGGCTCAATTGTGGTCATAAGTCTAGGACTACTTGTATGCATACATACCAATACTCAGAAAATTGGCTTAGTGCTAGTAGTATTTACATTTGCACCATACCTAGTCTCAACGCTATTAGCAGCATGTATGAATATTATTTCTGTGGATATATATTTGTATATATTTTTCTGTATGCATGAGCTTAAATGGACTCCAGAAGATGGTAGAGGACAGGAAGGCCTGGAGGAATGTTGTCCATGGGGTTGCAATTGGTTGGGCACGACTTCGCAACTAACAACAATAATATATATATTTTAGTCGGAGTCAATTTCAGCAGAGCTCGTCCTCTACGTTAGGATAGAATGTACAATAGCTTTCAGTCTTGAGACAGGCAGTTGTAATTTTGCATTTTCCCAGCACTTCATCTACATCACCAAAGTTAATTGAACTAATGGCAATTTTACATTATTATTTATGCTGCTGCATTGACTAAACTGGAAAATTAGGAAAAATAAACTATTATAAATGTTTATAAAACTAGTATTATAAAACTAATAAAAGTCTAATCTTGTGCTCAGGAAAGCCCATAATTACTGAAGTAATTTCAATAAAAATAGCAATGTTGTTCCATATCACTCTAGAATGAATGTCTTGTTTCAAACAGCCTCTGAATATATAAATTTTGTTTTGGAAAATTGGAACAGCTGTTTCAAGCTTAGAACATTTCAAAGTCAGAATAATTTTAGACCTGTTCTGTTCCATGCCTTACTGGCTTCAGCATGAAGAGGATCTTTATTTCCATCCATGACTACTTCAAACAATTTCATTGTGTTGTAGAAGTAGTCATTCTATGATTTCTAAGTTAGAGGGAATGTAAATATTCCAGGAAGTATTACATGTGCTTCCAGGTTCTGCTTATGGTCAACCACACACAGCCCTTGTGAACAGACACAGTCAAACCCTTTCAATCAAACATTGAGGCACAACTAGTTGTGTGGGATACATGGAGTCCTAATAAATTTAAAGTAACAGCAACACTTTACTGTTATAAAATGCATTTGTCCTTTCTCTCTGTCACCCACACATACTGTCACCCACGTGCATGACCTTCTCAACTATGCTGCTGGGTACCAGCCAGAGAGATGGAAATTGCCAAGTCTAAATCCAAAGGGGACTCAAAGAATAGGTAGGGTTAAGGAATCCCTTTGACCTCCAAAGTTCTTGTGTTGTTCATTCACAACACTGGCAGTTACACTTGCCTTGTTGATTTTCAAGTCTTGTAGCTATTGATGGGACTGACTTGGAAAGGAATTTCTCATGTGGTCAGGCCCAACTTCTTTTGTCTGGTTCATATAAAAAAAAATTCATTTGTTTCCTTAGCTACTTGGTTCCTTCTTAACTACCTCCTCTAAGGGACATTTTAGACAAAATTCCTGGCTTTTGTTTACTCTCCTTATGTGCCAGCTTTATTTTTTAGGTATGGCAGCTTCAGTTGGGTCTCACAGAAACAACTACATAGCAGTAGTAGCCAAGGGCAGATAAACTCAAGGTAGACATGTTGGAGATCCATGATAATTGTTGGTGGAAGTATAGTCCAAAGTTAATGATACCACCTATCGCAAATATAAAACTTAAATTCTTGTTCTTATGTTTTCCACCCATTAATGCATACCCTATAAAATCAAATTTTAAAAGAGTATTTATTGGGAAATGTGGGTACTGGAAGTATGATGACATTGTGAAACAAATATTTTTAAAAATCCAGAGGAAAGATCCCTTCCTATCAGTTACAAATAAACAACATAAATGTCATGTTCATATAGATTGTTCTGACCAAGGTTTCCGAAACTGTAATTACGCACACACTTATTTTAAAAATAAGTCTTGTTTTATTGCAATGCTGGGAATTATTTCAATAAAAATAGCAATGTTGTTCCATATCACTCTAGAATGAAT